ATCTCATTCCTCTTCCCTCGCCCAGTTAAGAAAGCGGTAATACTTTGGAAACTTTCTGAATTTGATACGAAGGTAAGAAAACCAATCAACCTTTCAGATTTGATTTAATTTAAAAAGAAAAAGAAAGAAGAAAACTTGGCTTAATGCCACCCTAGCCCTTGTTCAGCCAGCCGGGCAGCTGGTTAGGAGCTCCTGGCAAGCGCCAAAGGGTTGAGAGTTCAAAAGTCCCTTCCCCTCGTGCCACGCCGGGAGGAGGTGGGGGGCATCACACTGGCAGAACAGTGGGCATGGCCAGAGAGAGCCAAGCGGTGGAGGCTGTCTGTCCCGGGGCCCCAACGGGAAGCAACCCAGATGAGGTCCTGCAGCATGCCCCTTCCCCCTTCTGCAGACCTCTCTGCCTGGCTGCTGCCAACTGTGGGGCGGATGGGGGAAGGGGGCCCCTTGCACCCAGGCCAGTCAGCCCCATCCCGAGAGAACTGGCGAGTGGGGAAAGCGCTCCCGCCTTTTGCAAACTGCCAGATTCTGCTTCAAAGGGGGTGAGTGCAAATGCTTCAGGAGAAGCCGCTTCCCTACCTCCAACTCCATTCAAAGGACTCCCCACTTGGGGGGGCAGTTCCAAGCCCCTCCTCGCCAGGGGGAAAGCTCCCCTGAGGAGCAGGGCTGGCACCCGCAGGGATCCCCGGCTAGAAACGCCCACTCTGGGTGACCCTGGCCCCCCCCCCGCCGCTGGACAGGTCACCCTGCCGACCTTAACGCTGTTTCATAGCACTGAAATCCCCTTGAAACCCTGGGAACTAGACTTTGGCCACCAAGCCAAAGTGAGCTCTCAGCCGCCTCAAAATTCAATTCCCCGGATTCCCCTTGGGAAAAGGCTGAAAACTGCATACGAAATGGACAAGGACTTACTTAGAACTGGGACGTGCTGCCTCCGGTTCCCGCCTGTCAAACGGGCACATCTCGCCAAAGGCTTCTCGATTTGCAGGGCAGGGAGGAGTCTGCCCCTCTCTTAAAGGCATCATCCCAAAGGGAGAGCGCTGAGCATTAAATGCTCCCCAGCCTGGTTATTTTAAACTCCGGGCAGCAAAAAAGGTGAAAGAAAGGAAAAAGGCAATGCGGGCAGGGCAGGGCAGGGCAGGGCAGGGCAGGCCCCCCCCCGTACGGAAATCTGTTTTTTGCCAGGAGGGTCTCGCCATGCACAAGGCTGGCGGGGGGGCAGGAGGTGACCCGTGCAGGCAAGTCAGGCCTCTAGGCCCTCCTTCGCTTCCCCCCCCGCCGAGTCCAGACGGTCCGCAAAGCCTCTTCTCCGGCATCCGGGAGCCTGGCTGGCTGAAGGGCCGCCAAAGGGGAGAACGCGAAGCTGAGCAGAAGCGGATTGCCCAGAAGGCGGGTTTATTTCAGCCAAGAATTTGCGGAGGGCAGAGAAGACCCAACAGTCAGGCGGGCCCCTCGGGCAGGTCCTGAGCGCAGTCTGCAGTTCTGGTCAGGGGTGCAGCTTCGGGGGCAAAGAGGAGTCGTCAAAAAGCGGGTTCTTCACTTCCATCTCTCCAGTCTGCAACGGCCAGCAAGGAAGAACGGGAGACGCAACCGTTACCTCGAGGAGCGGGCATGCTGCCTGCCCCAGCGCAGGGCAGGGAAGGGGCACGACCTCCCGGGCACTGGGGCCCTGCTTTGATTCGCGGTGGGCAGGGCAGCCCCCACTGCCTGGGAACCGTGCTCCCCCTTGCAGGAAAACGAACCCACCGGGCCAGTGCCCTCCCTTGTCCCCTACCTGCTCCAGCAGCTGGACCCACCCAAGGGGCCTGCCCTCCTCACTTCTTCAGAAACAGGGCAAGGTAGTGAGGGGGCAATGCCCTGTGCCCACCCCTCCCTAGAGAGAGACCTACCGGGGCCAGGCCGGGGCACTCGTACACCGTGAAGTCCCCGTCCTCGTTCTCTTCGTCCGACGAGGCGGAGTCGGGAGCTTTGCTTTCTTCCTTATGCCTGCAGATTTGGGGGGGGGAATGCAGCCAGTGAGGCGGGGGCGGAAAACTCCCTCCACGCCTGCCCACTCCAAGCCAACCCCCCCATCGGTTGGGATTTTGCTTTCAAAACTTCGGCTTTCCAGCCAAAGCTTTTCAAACCCCGCGAGGTCCCCGGAAACCAAGCACTGCCAGGCTCCCCGTGCCGGGCCAGACCTCATTCAGTGAGCACCCCGGGGGTAAAACAGGTCCATGGGCAGTTAAAGGAGGCCCACCCTGGATTTGCTGCTCGGCTGTAAAATTCCTACAACCCAGTGGCCTCCTCCACCTCTGGCAGCTGCGGATTTCTTTCATCCAGGAGTTCCTATTTATGTGCAGCTTTTCAAGACTGCCAACGTTTTTAGAAGACCCCAGCTGACAAGCAGCCTCATTCCACACAATTCAGTCCTCTGGGGCAGGGGTGGCGCAGCAAAGCATCCCCTCTTATTTCACAGGGACGGGAGACCTACACGTAGCAAGTAACCTCACGAGCCACGCTTGAATCAATCCCTATCACGCCCTGTGGGTGCAAACCACTGCAGCTGGGTCGCTTCGTAAAGCTGGGCTCGCACATTGGGCCAGGCCACGATTTACTTAATCCTGGCCATGAATCATGGCTGGCAAGGCCCTGAGTGGAGACAGGAGGGTACAGGCGTGCCGTGCGGCCTGTTGGCCTTGCACGAAGGACCTTCCTGGCCTCCAAACACACTTCTGGGCCCGACGCTTAAGTGGGTCGAACAAGGAACCAGAAAGAGGGCGGAGATGCCCAGCGCTCCCGAAAGGCTTTGGGCCCATCACCGCGGAGGAGGACGCACTTCTCCATGGAGAGCATCTGCTGCTTCTGGTGCTGATAGTGGTACATCTGGGCACTCTGCGCCAGCTTTCTGTCCCCGGGCTGGCGGGAAAGAAAAAGGTGGGAACCCCGTCAGCGCAGGGAACGTTATAGCAGCAGGATAGGCGCGACCAACGCTGTACCTCCCAAACGCCTTCTTCCTCCAAAGCGAACCAGGCGGCACCTTGTGCACCAGCAGGGAGAGCAGGCCCTGCCCCGGCCCTGGCGCCAGGGAGCCAAGCCCACCGGGGCGCAGGTAACTCCCTGCCACTGGCAGAGACGGACCGGACAACGGGGGCGCCCGGGGATTGAGCCACACAGAGCGGCCAGAGCGCAAAGCAGCGCCCAAGCACTG